CATGCGAACACCCCTACTGGGACCTTCGGTGGAGCTCTTCATGGGGCCACGAAACGCTGCCCTGGGTGGGGGAACCGCATGCGCCCACCCCCACTGGGGCCTTCGGTGGAGCTCCCTATGGGGCCACGAAACGCTGCCCTGTGCAAGGGAACCGCATGCGCCCACCCCCACTGGGGCCTTCGGTGGAGGTCCCTATGGGGCCACGAAACGCTGCCCTGGGTGGGGGAACCGCATGCGCCCACCCCCACTGGGACCTTCGGTGGAGCTCCCGATGGGGCACGAAACGCTGCCCTGGGTGAGGGAACCGCATGCGCCCACCCCCACTGGGGCCTTCGGCGGAGGCCCCTATGGGGCCACAGAGCGCTGCCCTGGGTGGGGGAACTGCATGCGCCCACCCCCGCTGGGGCCTTCGGTGGAGCTCCCTATGGGGCCACGAAACGCTGCCCTGGGTAGGGGAACCGCATGTGCCCACCCCCACCGGGGCCTTCGGTGGAGCTCCCTATGGGGCCACGAAACGCTGCCCTGGGTGGGGGAACCGCATGCGCCCACCCCCACTGGGACCTTCGGTGGAGCTCCCTATGGGGCCACGGAACGCTGCCCTGGGTGGGGGAAACGCATGCGTCCACCCCCACTGGGGCCTTCGGTGGAGCTCCCGATGGGGCCACGAAGCGCTGCCCTGGGTGGGGGAACCGCATGCGCCCACCCCCACTGGGGCCTTCGGTGGAGCTCCCTATGGGGCCACGAAGCGCTGCCCTGTGCAAGGGAACCGCATGCGCCCACCCCCACTGGGGCCTTCGGTGGAGCTCCCTATGGGGCCACGAAGCGCTGTCCTGGGCGGGGGAGACACATGCGAACACCCCTGCTCGGACCTTCGGTGGAGTTCCCTATTGGGCCACGAAGCTTTGAAATGATGATGTTGATGATGATGACGATGACGATGACGACGACGACGACGAAGACGATGATGATGCTGATGATGATGATGCTGCTGCTGATGATGATGATGGTGGTGGTGATGATGATGATGATGATGATGATGATGATGATGATGATGATGATGATGATGATGATGATGATGATGATGATGATGATGATGATGCTGATGATGATGATGATGATGATGTGATGATGATTGGGAGGAGGGAGGGAGGAGGGGAGGAGGGCGGGAAAGAGGGAGGGAGGGGAACGCGGGGCGCCGTCTCTTCAAAACGAGGACCCAACACCACAGGATGGTTGGGAAAAAGTTGATCCTTGTGCCGCTCGTTGTTCCTCTCATCTTGCACGCGGATGACCCCGTTAGGGGGGCCACATGCGAGCCCTACCCCTACCCCCCACGACTTCTTGGGGGGTAGGGGTAGGGTTCAGGGTTCGCATGTGGCCCCCATACCCGTCCTGCTGCCCCTCCGCGCGCAGAGTGCGGCGCAGACTGCACAGAACGACCCGGCAGACGGTCGCGCACGGGGCCGCGCCGCACACGGGGGCCTGCGGGAGCACGCCGCCGTCGTCCGCGGGCCGCGGGCGGCCCGCGGGAGGCCACGGGGTGGCCCCTGAGCCCCTTGGCTCTGCCGCCGGGCCTGTTGTCCAAACCCAACCGCTACAAGTTGGAGTGGGAGGGGGTCCTCCTCCTCCTCCTCCTCCTCCTCCTCCTCCTCCGCCTCCTCCTCCGCCTCCTCCTCCTCCTCCCCTCCTCTCCTCCTCCCTCCTCCTCCTCTTCCTCCTCCTCCTCCGCCTCCTCCTCCTCCTCCTCCTCCTGGTCCTCGTCCTCCACCTCCCTACCCCCTCCAACTTATGGTGGTGGTGGTGGTGGCAAACAGGCCCATCAAAGGGCATGGACCCACGGCTGCGCGCAGCCTCCGCGCAGTGCGCGCCCCTGGTGGGGCGTGCCTCTGCCGGAGTCGTCCCGCCTGCCGTTGCTGCCCACACGCCTCCGAATCGCAAGTACAAGGGGCGGTGCTCTTTGGACGCTAGCAGTGGGCGGTGACAGAAGGGGCGCCTGGCAAGTTGGAGCTCCGAGCTCTGGTGCTTGGGCGCGCGTTTTCCTAAGCGGCCCGCTTTGGCGACGGCCAGCTCTGGGCCCTGACTCCCTCGGAACTGGGTTGGTCGCTCACTGGTCCCGCCAGTGCCGTGTACGAGCTTGCCGTTGGCGCCCTGGCCTGCGGCGGCTTCCATGGGAGGACCTCTACCAGAGGATTCTCATGCGTGCCTATGTGTCGGGGGGGCGTTCTTGGGAACAACGCGCTCTTGCTTTGCTTGATGCTTGGCCCATCTCCAACCGGCTGGGCTGGGAGGAGGCTCGCGGTGGATAGCCCTGCACCAGTTCAAAGTGTACATGCAAGCGCAGTATAAGGAGCGCTGCGAGGCGGAGCTGCGGCGACGAGTTGGCCGTCCTTCGGCCGCTCCCGGTCCTCGGAAGGGGCCCGTCCCTCGGCCGGATCTCGCCCAGGCTCTCAAGCGGGGGCGGCCCTTGGAAGTCCTGCAGGGCCAGCGGTTGCTGAGTAAGCTATGTGCGAGGACGACCTGTGGCTCTTAGTCATTTCTTCGGGCAGTATTTCGACAACGGAAATGCCGCAGAACTCCTTCTGGGGAACCCGCGGGGGCCCAGCCCCCTGCTCTGTGGAGGCGGCGGCCCAGGGGGTCCTATCTGCTGGCACGGCAGTCGTGGGGTGCGCGGAGGCGGCGCTGCTGGCGCTTCATGTCGAGAAGGCGACGGATCGTTTCTGGGTGGTCAGTGGAGCCCGCCATCCCTCCTGTGTTCCCCGCTCCCCGGGCGAGCGGGCCGGGTCGGGCAGGGTGTTTATAGTTTCCTCTTCTCCTCCTCCTCTTCCTCCTCCTCCTCCTCCTCCTTCTCCTCCTCCTCCTCCTCCTCCTCCTCCTCCTCCTCTTGTGCCTCCCCCTCCTCCTCCGCCTCCTCCTCCTCCTCGTCCTCCTCCTCCTCCCCCTCCTCCTCCTCATCCACCTCCCCCCTCCTCCACATTCCTCCTGTCCATATCGGGTGGTTCTGCCTTCCCCTTCCTGTCACCGTCCCACACCCGCGGTTCCGTAACCATTTCGGCTCAAGGAATTTTGAGTTTCCCAGGGGAGAAAGTGGCCCCTCGTGAAGGGACCTTTGTGGCGGACTCCAAGGTGTTTTGGTGGGCCCTGGGAAGTTATCTTTCATCTGATTCCTCCTCCGTCTTCCTCGTCTTCTTTTTGGCTTAATTCTGGAGACTGTACATGTGTTTTCAGCAGGTCCCGGCCCTCCCGGTCTTCCCTCGCGTCCTCGCCCCAGTTCTCCTGGACCGTCCATTCCTGGCCTCCTCCTCCTCCTCAAGCCCGACCCGCTCGTTCAAGGACGACGTGCTCCAGACCTCGAGGCGGGTGGGCGGCAGGGGTGGCAGACGTTTCCTTGGGGTGGCTCTCGGGACGCGGCTCGGCTGCCTCTTGGTGGACGGTGCCTTCCCGCCTGAGAACTCGGAGAGTGCAAGCGAGAGGAGAGAGATAGAGAGAGAGGAACAGAGAGAGAGAGAGAGAGCGATAGAAAGAGAGAGAGAGAGAGAGCTAGAGAGAGAGAGAGAGCGAGAACAACAAAAGAGTTTAACAAAAAAGAGAGCGAGAGACAGAGAGAGAGAGAGAGAGAACGAGGGTCCGTTGCCCGAGGTCGCCGTGTGGCTGCGAAACCAGGGTGGCCCAGCGCTTGCCGAATACATACATATATATAGATATACACATATATGTATATATGTATATACATATAATTATATATCCGTAAGGGCTTCGCCCCCTGCCGCCGGCCCCCTGTCTCGGATAATGGGCAACGCAAGAGCGAAATCATGAGGCCTTGGCGCCGCCGTAAAGCAGCGTCGGGACTTCACGCGAAGACGATGAGTAATCGGCAAGACACAAATTGAGATTATGATTATATTGTTGAATTCGATGTTGCATTTCGAGCTTGCTGGCGCATGCTGTGCAAAAAGCTGTTCTACGAAGTGTTGAAATGGTACAGATGTCATGTGTTGTTTGACCCTGACCCCACCGATCTGCAGGAGGGTTGCCACCGATGTTCAAGACATGTGGCAAATCCCGTGTGTTTTTCGACCCTGACCGCGCCAATCTGCATGAGGAGAGCCACCGAATTTCAGACATGTGGCGCATCCCTTATGTTTTTGGACCCTGACCCCGCCGATCTGCGTTAGGGGGATCACAGAATTTCAAGACATGTGGCAAATCCCTTGTGTGTTTCGACCCTGACCCAGCCGATCTGCAGGAGGGGTGCCACCGAATTTCAGAAATGTGGCGCACCCCTTATGTTTTTGGACCCTGACCCCGCCGATCTGCCTGAGGGGTGCCACCGAATTTCAGAAATGTGGCAACTCCAATTGGTTTTTGGACTCTGACCCCGCCGATCTGCGTGAGGGGTTCCACCGAATTTGGGAAATGTTGCAAATCCAATGGACTTTTGGACTCTGACCCCGCCGATCTGCGTGATGGGTACCACCGAATTTCAGAAATGTAAAGTCCCTTATGTTTTTGGACCCTGACCCCGCCGATCTGCCTGAGGTGTGTCACCGAACTTCAGAAATGTGGCAAATCCGATTGGTTTTTCAACCCTGACCCCGCCGATCTGCCTGAGGGGTGCCATCGCATTGTGGAATTGTGGTCACTCCCATGTGTTTTTGGACCCTGACCCCGCCGATCTGCGGGAGGGGTGTCAAGCTCGACCCGCCCAGAAATTTTGAGAACCCTCCCAGGACGTGCTAAGCAGGGTGCGTTTCGGCTCCCCCCCCTCGCGCGGTCTACAACAAGCAACAGCAAGCAGCAACAAGCAGAACTGTAACAGTGGAAACTGGAAACTGGAACTGGTGCGGGGAACAGCAAACCCTGGTCCTACAGCCTGGTGGCCGCACAAGGGGGCCAGCGGATACATACACACACACACGCACACATATATGTATATAACTATACAGATATATCGATATATGCTTGTTACCTTCCCGAACAAAAGCTCGAAGTGCCCAGCCCAGGAGGCCAAGAGGAAGAAGCCGACGCAGGCCGAGCGGAAGCGAAAGAAGGGGCTGCAGGCGCCAGACCGGGAAGCCCGCAAGGCCAAGAAGCGGAAAGTTAGCCAGGCCCGCCGCTTGAGTTGCGACCGCCCTTTCCGTGCTCCTCCTTCTCATCCTCCTCCTCCTCCTCCTCCTCCTCCTCCTCCTACTTCTCCCCCCTCCTCCTCCTCCTCCTCCTCCTCCTCCTCCTCTTTTCCTTCCTCTTCCTTCTCCTTCCTCCTCCTCCTCCTCGTCCTCCCCTCCCCTCCTCCTCCTCCTCCTCCTACTTCTCCCCCCTCCTCTCCTCCTTCCCTCCTCCTCCTCCTCCTCCTCCTCCTCCCTCCTCTCCTCCTTCCCTCCTCCTCCTCCTCCTCCTCCTCCTCCTCCTCCTCCTCCTCCTCCTCCTCCTCCTCCTCCTCCTCCTCCCTCCCCCTCCTTCTTTTCCTCCCTCCTCCTCTTCTCCTCCCCCCTCTCCCTTCTCTCCCCTCCCCCTCCCTCCTCCTCCTCCTCCTCCTCCTCCTCCTCCTCCTCCTCCTCCTCCTCCTCCTTCCCCCCTCCTCCTCCTCCTCCTCCTCCTCCTCCTCCTCCTCCTCCTCCTCCTCCTCCTCCTCCTCTGCCTGTTCCCCCTCCCATGCGGCGCAGCAATTTCCGCAGCTCCTCTTGGAAGGGCCGATCTTAGCACGCACGAAAACTACAGCACCGCCGCAGTGCTCTGTCACAGCTGCCCCTGCGTCCTTGCACCTCCACTTCCAGTTCTGAGGCCGCTTCAACGTGGACACCTTAGGGTTGCACACCCTTGCCTTGCACCCTCGCTACCAGTATTGATTGGACTACCACTGCCGTTACCACCACCATTCATGTCCCAGCCTTCGCCGTGTGGCCCTCCTGCCCGATTTGTCATGCTTTCCCATCGGCTGCATCACATTGCACTTTGATTTGTTTTGTTTTTTTTCCCGCCAGTAATTGTTTGGCGTAGGACCGCCTGTGTGTGGAGCAGCTGTTGCTCCTCTGCTATCATCCCACCTTCTCCGTCCCTCCGGCTCCATCCCGTCGTTCTTCGTTTCTTTGGCACCCAAACTAGACTTGCTTCCCTGGAACCGCCATACTTTGCACTGCTGCAGTTTCCCGAGGCCCTGGGGGCTCCCGTGGAGCACCCCTGCTGGAAAAGCAAGCACGGGCACCCAAGCACGACCTCGCATGTTGCCGCTGCCTGAACCGTTGGGGGTGCATCCCTCGGAACTGCCATTTCCTGTTCCGCTGTTGGGGCAGTGGAGACCCCGTTTGAGAGCTCCCACACTAGACCTCGCCACCTTGGGTGCTGCCATGTCCTGGGCCGCTCGGGGTTCCAGTGGAACGCCCCATTCTGAGCATCAAAACTAAGCCTCGCGTGCTTTGCATACTGTTTTTTTATAGGGTCCGGCGATAAGCCGGGTTATCGGGCTCGACCCCCCCTCCTCTTCCCCCCAGGACAACCTAACCTAGCCGGTTGTGCAGGTCCGGGGGGGGGCGGGGGTGCAGGGAACTCGCAGGGAGCGCTGTGTTCAACGGCGCGGTGGTGTTCGCCACAGCATGCTGGTGTTTGGATGCACGTTGGCGAGTCGTTGGGGCTTGGAGTGGCGCAGGGAGACGACGACGACGACGACGACAGACGACGACAGACGACGACGACGACGACGACGAAAACAGACGACGGCAGACGACGACGACCGACGACCACGACGAGGACGACGACGACGACGACGACGACGTCGACCGACGACCCACGACCGACGACCGACGACGACCGACGTCGTCCATAGGTACTAGAGGTGCACGCGAGCAGCGCATACACACGCATTGGTTGCGTTGTGTAAAGGCAGGGCGACTTGGTGGGCAAATTGCTGCTGTTGCGGCAGCAGGATCTGTTGCGTACGCAGAGGTTTTGGTGCACGCAATCAAAAGTGCACGCATGTCGCGCGGTGCACGCGGGCTTCGTGATGCACCAAGCAATACGGTGAAGACAGGCTTTGTGTTGTGCACAATTGCTGCTGTCACGTCAGTTATCATTCACGTAAGCATCATGGGCTTGGTGGTGTGCAGAAGGACTGTGGTGCACGGTCACGGTCATTGCGGTGAACCACACTTTGTGGTGTACATAGGCGCTGCGGTTTACACATCCGTTGCTGTTTACACAAAAGGCGTTGTGGGCCCAAAAGACGGGACCGTCCCTTTGGCAAGAAGAGTCAATCATGACGAATAGCTTACACATTGGAATTGATATTGTCGGATCCCCCGCGTTTTTTGGAGTTCGGTCCCGTCGGGGGCCGTGGAAGTTTACGGAGATATGTGGTGTACACACGCATTTTGGTGCACCCGAGCTGTGGTGCACGAGTACGGTGTTGAAGCAGCAGCCGTGGTGCATATAGGCGTCGTCGTGTACACAGGCACTGTGTGTGGTGTGCACACACACTGCGCTGCACACGGCTGCTGTAGTGTACACAGGCGTTGTGTTGTACACAGACATTGTTGTGTAGACAAGCGCTGCGGTGTACACAAGCAGTTGTGGTGTACAAAAGCGTCGTGGCGCACGCTTGACAGGCGCTGTGGTGTACACAGACATGATCGGTCAATAACGGGGGTGGGCCGCACCCCGGGCCAGAAAGATCAATTATCGCAAACAAATTCTAATGTTGATGTGATATGTTTGGGCCCCGGGGGGTTTTCCAGATTTGGGCCCCGGCGGGACCTTGGAGGTGCGCGGAAGCGCTGAGGCGCAAATGTTCGCCGTGCGTTGTGGTGCACGCGGCTCTGATGGTGTGCACAAGCACCGCGGTGTACACAGGCGCTGTGGTACACACGGCTGCTGTCGTGTACACAAAGCATTGTGGTGTACACAGGCACTGTTGCTTACACAGGCACTGCGGTGTACACACGCAGCTGTGTAGTACAAGGGCGTCGTGGTGTACACTAGACAGGCACCGTGGTGTACATAAATATGGTCGGCCCAAAATGGAGAGGGACCAGACCCCGGGCCAGAAATAACCAATAATTAATTATTCATTGCGTGGAGCTCCCCATATGTGCATCTATTCGCATGGACCTGTCCGCCGTGAATGTCTAGGCGCAAGAACTTTCGAATATACACGGGCTTCAGTTGTGACGGTCTGGACATAAATCTAACTGCGAATGAACTGGAGTGTGAATGAGCCTCAGTAGTACGAGCGCGTCTTTGTGCATGAGCCTGGGGCCTCCTGGGGCCTCCTGAAACCTACTGGGGCTTCCTGGGGTCTCCAGGAGCCTCTTGGGGCCTCCTGGGACCTCCTAGGGAGGTTTCGTGCCCCAGGAGAGGCGCAATATATAGCAACAGACGTACATAAAACATTGCGGATTAGAGCCACAGGAGAAGGGCAATCTATAGGAACACGCGTAAAACACCAAGGACTCGTGCCCCAGGAGAGGCCCAATATATAGGAACATAAGTAAAACATGTAGGATTGTGTACACAGGAGAAGGACAATATATAGAAACATACGTATAACATCAAAGACTCGTGCTCCAGGTGAGGCCCAATCGATAGGAGCATACGTAAAACACATGGGATTGGAGCCACTCCTGTTGCCTTCTGAGGCCTCCTGCTCCTGGGGCCTCTCGGGGCCTCCTGTTGCCTTCCGAGGCCTCCTGGCGCTTCCTGTTGCCTCCTGGGGCCTCCTGTGGTTTCCTGAGGCCTTCTGGAGCTTCCTGGGGCCTCCTGGAGCCTCTTGGGACATCCTGTGGCCTGTTGAGTCTTTCTGTGGCCTCCTGATGCCTCCTGGGACCTCATGTGGTCTCCTGGGGCCTCCTGGAGTCTGTTGGAGACTCCTGTGGCATCCTGACAAGAATCTGCGCCCACGAGCCTGGCCACCAAAACAAGCAAACCGACCGAGACATCCTCAAAATTGGCCCACCTGGGGGGTGAGAATGAGCGCCTCGCTCGAGACATCCTCCAAATCTGCTCCGAAAACGAAGGATGCTGGCACAGAAAACAGGCAAACCGCTCGAGACATCCCCACAAAATCCCGCAAAAGGGGCCGAGTGCAATCCCCTCCCGCCGCTCCCCTTAGGAACGTGAAAATGAGCGCCTCGCTCGAGACATCCTCCAAATCTGCTCCGAAAGCCAAGGATGTTGGGGCAGAAAACAGGCAAACCGCTCGAGACATCCCTACACAATTCCGCGAAAGGGGCCGAGTGCAATCCCCCCCCGCCGCTCCCCTTAGGAACGTGAAAATGAGCGCCTCGCTCGAGACATCCTCCAAATCTACTCCGAAAGCGAAGGATGTTGGGACAGAAAACAAGCAAACCGCTCGAGACATCCCGACAACATTCCGCGAACGGGACCCCGTGAGATACCCCCCCGCCGCTCCCCTTAGAGTGCTGAGACGAGCGAATCGCCTGAGACATCCTCAACATCAGTGTGTGTGTGTGAGTCATCCGATGAGTGGACCTGAGTGAGTGCAGTGAATGTACGAGTACAAGTACGAGTGGGTCTGGGTGATGAGTGAGTCTGAGTGATGAGTGAGTCTGAGTGATGAGTGAGCCTGAGTGATGAGTGATGAGTCTGAGTCATGACTGAGTCCGAGTGATGAGTGAGTCTGAGTGATGAGTGAGCCAGAGGAGGTGAGGGTGTTCCTGTGTTCCTCCGGCGCGGCCTGCCAATAACAAGAACCCCATCTCTTTGGATATGGGGAATAATAATTTACATATTGAATTTCATATGTTCGGGCTCCCGGGGATTTTCCAGATTTGGGCCCCGGCGGGACCTTGGAGGTGCGCGGAAGCGCTGTGGCGCAAAGAGAAGGCACCTGTGGCGCATACGCTGTGGTGTACGCTGCTCCTGTGGTGTGCACAGGCATCGGGGTGTACACAGGCGCTGTGGTGCAAGGAGAAGCCTCTGCTGCAGCAGCACCTGAGGTGTGCAAGAACGTTGCGGCGCACGCATGTTTTGTAGTGCTCATCGGCAGTGTGGTGCATGCATGCGTGTTCTATAGATAATGTACATAGCAATCACATCCCGCGTATTCCAATGCGAGCTTTCCAGACATCCCTAGGCATTCTCAGACGGCGCCCGCATC